GGCAGAGTGTTCCAGAGTCTGGGGCCGACCACAGAGAAGGTCCAGTCCAGTTGGGACTCACCTTCTGGGGTCGTCACAGCCAACAGAAAATGAAATAACAAACTGTTTTCCCATTTTTTTGTTTTTCGTTCTTAAATGAAATTCAAAAGGACGAAAAAGACGAACGGTACACGGACCTGGACCTGGTGTAGTGACCAGACTGATCTTCCTCTGTACAAAAAAACACATGTAAAGAACTAAAACGCTACTGGAGCTGCACGAAAACATTATTAAAAGTTCCATAATTGACTCAAGCAGAGCACACCTCCACTAACGACACAGTTTGTCCCGGTTCTGTTCTAGTTTGAACCATGAAAAAAACAGTCCTCATACGGTTTGGAGCTGAGTGAAAGAATGAGGACAGTGGTGGAGCGTTTGAGCTGAGTCAGGTCGTTTAACGCCGTGTTTACACGAGCGTCTGAGGTGACGCAGCACCATTGTGTCATTACTTCCTCACGCGCTCCTAATGAGGCAGGTCCTGAAGGAGGCACCTCCGGCTCCGCTCCACCCACACTCACGCTCCCTCATTAATCTTCATCACGTGGAACCAGGTCTCAGTCCTGATCAGAGAGAACGGAGGCGTGAGCACCACATCCAGGGAGACGAGGAGACCTGAGAGCAGCGGGGAGGAGGAGATCATCACCGGGATTGTAGTTCTGGAGCAGAGAAGTGGAGAGAGACTTTACTGATCTCGAGGGAAGTTCAAGTTTTGCTGCAGGGTCATTCAAATCCCCCGCTTCGACCATCTCGGATTTGACTGAAAAACTTCTAGGAGGTTCACACACTTTCCAATAAGAAAAGTCCCAAATTTTAGCTCCAAACTCCTAAAAATATTTTGTCCTCTCCCCCCCGACCTGTTTTGAGCAGAGCTTTTCTGAGGAGCCACGACAGAAAATAATTCAGCCTTTCACCTCTTGCACAGTTTTCATAGATTCGGGAAAAATCTAAACTTCCTTTCCTCGTGTCCTTTGAGCTTCACGTGCTGCACTTCTTAGTTGGTGAAAATCCCATGATGATGTTAAAAGTGGAGCTCGAAACACAAAAGTCCTCGGAGTGTGAGAAAGTCTGAGCTACAAACAGTGTTGTGGAGTAACAGATTACATGTACCAGACTTAAGTAATCAGAGTACAAATGATGAGTAACTGTATTCAGTTACAGTTACTGTTTCAGTGAGCGGTAATTGGATTACAGTTACTTTGTTGAAATAAATGGATTACACAGAGGGATTTCCTGTTTTCACATAAAAAAAAAAAAAACAGGTCTAAACCGGGACTAAACCAGACTAAACCAGGACTAAACCAGGACTAAAACAGGTCTAAAAGCAGGACTAAACTAGACTAAACAGGTCTAAAACCAGGTCTAAACTGGGACTAAACCAGGTCTAAAACCAGGTCTAAACCAGGACCAAAACCAGGTCTAAATCAGGTCTAAACCAGGTCTAAAACCAGGACTAAAACCAGGTCTAAACCAGGACCAAAACCAGGTCTAAATCAGGTCTAAACCAGGTCTAAAACCAGGACTAAAACCAGGTCTAAACCAGGACCAAAACCAGGTCTAAATCAGGTCTAAACCAGGTCTAAACCAGGACTAAAACCAGGTCTAAACCAGGACCAAAACCAGGTCTAAATCAGGTCTTAAACCAGGTCTAAAACCAGGACTAAAACCAGGACTAAAACCAGGTAAAACCAGGACTAAACTAAAAACCTAAACCAGGTCTAAAACCAGGTCTAAAACCAGGTAAACCACTAAACCAGACTAAACCAGGTCTAAAACCAGGACTAAACTAGGACTAAAACAGGTCTAAACAGGACTAAAACCAGGTCTAAACCAGGACTAAAACCAGGTCCAAAACCAGGTCTAAAACCAGGACTAAAACCAGGTCTAAACCAGGACTAAAACTCTAAAACCAGGTCTAAACCAGGACTAAAACCAGGTCTAAACCAGGTCTAAACCAGGACTAGGTCTAAACCAGGACTAAAACCAGGTCTAAACCAGGACTAAACCAGGACTAAACTAGGTCTAAACCAGGACTAAACCAGACTAAAACCAGGTCTAAATCAGGTCTAAACCAGGTCTAAAACCAGGACTAAAAACCAGGTCTAAACCAGGACCAAAAACCAGGTCTAAATCAGGTCTAAACCAGGTCTAAAACCAGGACTAAAACCAGGAAAAGGCTAAACCAGGTCTAAAAACCAGGACTAAAACCAGGTCTAAACTAAGGTCTAAACCAGGACTAAAACCAGGTCTAAACCGGGACTAAACCAGGTCTAAAACAGGATTTAACAGGACTAAATCCTGCTGTATGGACCGTGTCTCCTCCTCTTCTATCAATAATATTTTTAATACGGTTAAGCTTTTTTTATTTTCTTTTAGCAAACAAAACGTCTTATGTGAAGATTACGTTACTCATTATAAGTAATTTAATGGATTACGTTACAAACTACATTTTGGTGTGTGTAATCTGTAATCTGTAGGGGATTACATTTTAAAAGTCACCTTCCCAACACTGGCTACAAAATGGAACTACTGATAAAAAGCGGTTTGTGTTGCTTTTTTTTTGTACAAAAAAAGCTCTGTAAATAAAGTTTGATCGATTGATAATCACTGTACTGAATATTTGTTGATTTACTCGACCGACCAGAACCACGAGCTTTGACAAAACCGATCCAGAATCACTCAAACACACAGACACACATTAAATCCATATTGGGCAAAGTGGGTGAAGTGTCTTGCCTCAGGACACAACGACAGAACTCGCTCCTGTGAGACTCGCGTTTCCCCCAAGGACAAAACAGAAGCATAACTCACGCGCTCCGAAAGTGAACCCAAAGTTGAGATTTATCAGTGTATGTGTGTGTGTGTGTGTGCGTGTGTGTGCGTGTGTGTGTGTGTGTGTGTGCCAGCCTCATTTTCAGATCCAGCTCTTACCATAAAAGGATATTGATTTTTTAAGTGGCCTTATTTGCATGCACTTCCATCAGGGTCCCACGCGGCGTCCGTCCCGTGATAAACGAGCGGGACCGGGCGCGACGTCACCTCCAGAGTTCACAACCAACTTAAAGGTTTTATGGAGGTTTTTTTTTTAGTTTCAAATTGTCAGTGAAAGTTTAAAATACCATTACAGAGACGCAGCAGCCTCGTAATTATGATGACCAAAAAAAAAAAAGAATGAAAATCTATCAACTGTGGACGTGTTGAGGCCAGAGAAACATCAGCCAATAGAAAACGAGGTTCTCTATTTATCTATTGGCTGTTAGGTCGTCAATCAAACTCCCTACGTTTCTAGTGTAATTGACTCGCCGGCGTGCGGGGATTATGTGGTTTATGCAGCGGTTCTTAGAGGATTTTTCAAACTGTCGCTTCCTCGCAGTTCGCACAAAGTTTGTTGAGATGGAGGGCGTGAATCCACGACCTGTTCGCCGCAAAAGAAAGTCCGTTTTTGAGGTCGCGGAAAGAAGCAGAGAAGGGGAAAAGGAGCAAAGCCGAACTGAGGTGATTCTTGGAGATTCCTTCCAGCGATGGCGCGACTGAAGCAGACGAAGGGACTAAAAACTGACGCGTCGGTCGCTGAAACATTTCTGGACAGGAAACTTCAACAGTAATTCTGAACACACACTGGATGTAAAGAAGCGTGATTTCTAGAGTAAAGAGGCGGAAGGAGATGTTTCTTCTGAGGAGCTGTGGAGGAGGAAGGTGGTGTCACGCATGTACAACATTTGAAAAAGGACTGTCGCTGTATTTCACTTCCCTAAAAAAAAATCCTCTATACAACCTGTTAATTCACGTACTGAAGATATCTGTTATGAATATTCATTTTAAGTAACTGTATTCGCCCCTACAGACCAAGATGTAACCAGGTTTAAGTTCAATCCCCTTATCCAGATCCAACCCAGGTTTTCCCCCTCTCCACATGACGTGTCACCGCCCATCACCCCGCCCATTTCACCAATTATCCAATCACACATCACCAGTCAGAGTATATAAGGCTGCGTTCACACTGCATCCTGAAGTGACCCAAATCTGATTTTTTTCTCCTCTATGTTCCTGTATCTGATCTTTTAATGACAGTCTGAATGACACAGATCCGATTTTTTCAAATCCGACACCAGGACACTTGGATATGTGCTCCTGAAACTGATACATATCTGATCTTTTGACATGTGACTTCAGTGTGAACGGCCAAAGTGCATTCATCCACCTACACGTTATCAACAAGACACAAACATCACTATTCTGCGCTGAAGTAGGAGAAAATTGTTAATAAACTCCGTGTGACTGAAGTGAAGCACATCTCCACTCACCACTCTTGGCTCCGTCTCCACATCCACACGTTCCTTTCAACGGACTGAACCACAAAACACCACGACCAAAAACCTCGTCCTTCTCCTTCTCAATCTCCTCCTTAAAACAAGTAAGTTGTTCATGTTCTGGCTCCGGTACGAGAGGAACTTTAAAATCTCCAGGTGCTCGATGCTGCGTCCATGTTTGGACAACTTCTGTAAACACAGAGACGCTCGCTGCGGTTGACGTCGTCGTGTCTCCAGTGTCACATGTGGGACACTTTTGGGCCGTTTAATGTTCACACAGGGGATCGAATACAAGTCACATTTAACTGGAAATGTGAACAACCTCGAAAAAACATCGGATTTCACAAAAAAAAAACGGAATTGAGCGTTAAGCCCTGCAGTCTGAACGTAACCCAAGTGTCCTGGGGTCACATTTTGAAAAAATCGGATCTGTGTGGTTCAGACTGTCATTATAAAAGATCAGATACAGGAAACATAGAAGCCAAAAAAATCGGATTTGGGTCACTTCAGGTGCAGTGTGAACGCAGACTAAATGCAGCTCGGTGTAAAAGTATTCTAATTATTAAGAATACAATACTGTGACTGTACCATGTCCACAAACACATTTTCATTTGTGTTTTCAGTATTTCTTGTTGTGTCTGCACATGTTCACACCTGTGGGTTTCTCGGACGAGCACGGCGCGGTGGAGCTGCCTCTGGACGTGTGCGTGATCCGGGCCGCACGCGTGGACGAACGGGTGAACGGCCACCAGCACGAAACCCTCCGAGTACAACTCCCGGACCTGAACCGGCAACTCCCGCACCGAGGACAGGCTCAGGACCGAGGACACGGGCAGCTCTGCGGAGACAAGAGACACGTCCGGTTAAACACACAGAGGGAAAGATCTGGGTTTAGTTTGTGTTTTACGGTTCTGGACTAAACCAGGACTAAACCAGGACTGAAACAAGACTAAAACAAGACTAAACAAGCACTAAAACAGGACTGAACCAGGACTAAACCAGGACTAAAACGAGACTAAAACAAGACTAAACAAGGACTAAATAACAGACTGACTGAAACAAGACTAAAACAAGACTAAACAAGGACTGAACCAGGACTGGACTAAAACAGGACTGAACCAGGACTAAACCAGGACTAATAAACAGGACTGAACCAGGGACTAAACCAGGACTAAAAGACTAAAACAAGACTGAAACCAGGACTAAAACAGGACTGAAACAAGACTAAAACAAACTAAAACAAGGACTGAACCAGGACTAAACAGGGACTGAAAACAAACCGGACTGGAAACCAGGACTACAACCAGGACTGAAAACCAGGACTTAAACAAGGACTGAAACCAAGGACTAAAACAAGGACTGAACCAGGACTAAAACAGGACTGAAACAGGACTAAACAAGGACTAAACTAAAAAGGACTAGGACTAAACCAGGACTGACTAAACCAGACTAAACAAGGACTAAACCAGGACTAAACTAAACCAGGACTAAACCAGGACTAAACAAGACTGAAACAAGGACTAAAACCAGGACTAAACAAGGACTAAAACAAGGACTAAACCAGGACTAAACAGGACTTAACACAGGACTGAAACCAGGACTTAAACCAGGACTAAACCAGGACTAAACCAGGACTGGGATGCAGATAAACAGATAAACCGGATCATATGCGCGCGGCGGTTGTGTAATTAATCCAATTTCTTAATTATCATGATCCAACTGTTTGAGCTCATCAGTGATCAGCCTGAGGTTTTCTCAATGGAGACGTCCTGGAGGTTTGGAGCTGAGACTCTGGAGAAACCATCAGGTTTAACGGCTGCAATTAGAAGAGTTTTATTTAAATATGAACAAATATTTGAAAATAGTGATGAATAAAATAAGTGGAATATGATTCTGTTACAGCTGCTTTACAGTTTTTATACATTCTTCTTTTACTCCACATTCAGCGGTGGTTTCTACTGTAGCCGCAGCTGCCCAGGGACAGACTGATGTAAGCGAGGCTGCCAGTCTGCACCATCAGCCTCTCCAACCACCAACACTCACACACATTCTCAAGTGTCTTGCCTAAAAACACAACAACAGTTTTTGTCGCTGGCTTTTCCCGGTGGACCCTGGTATTTCCAACAGTCTCAAACCCAAGTCCGGACCAGGTCCAGCCTGGGAGCTTCTCAGATCAAACCAGATCAGGATTTGACCACAAGAGGTTAACTCTAAATAAATGAACAGTTTGTAAGTTTATTTTAAGATTTAAAATTTGACAAACTGGACCTGTCTGTGTCAGACATGTTTTTATCATATGATTATGATGATATGATTCTCCAATCAGAAGCAGAATGAGCCTCACATGACTTTGTCATGTGAGTTGAAGCTGAAGTTCAGTGTGTTTAAACCTAAAACTGTCTCTGACCTGAACAGTCTGTCCCTAAACCCCGGCACCCGCAGAGCTTCTGTGTCAGTGCTAGTGCAGCTTCTGCAGCTCAGGGAGGTTCTGATCTTCATATCTGCATTAGTCTGAAAGTGTCACTGAGGTTGTTTTATTTTGAGTGGGGCTCCTAATGGAGACAGAAAATACACTGAGCTCAAACACAACCACAGGCTCCAGAGTCAGTGCAGTGACATAAAACTGAGCTTTTTACAATGAATGAGATTCCTGCTTAACCAGAAGAGCCACCACAAACAGAGTGGTTTGGTTTAACACAATTTAGAGGCAAAAGTGGCTCGGATAGAATCATTTTTCTCAGTAATGAGACAAACTTGGACCTTTTTGTAAAACAGTAGCAAACAGACTGCACATACTTCCTTTAAGTATCACTGCAAAATGGAGAAATGTAGATTTGTGTCCTTTTCTGGACTCTGTCTCTGGACTCTGTCTCTGGACTCTGTCCACCAAGCATCTTCAACTAAAGCCACTCGAGCTGATGGGTGGTCCATTGCACAGAGCCACACGAGTCTGTCCACACGAGTCTGTCCACACGACTCTGTCCACAGCAGAGCTCTGTGTGAGTCTGTCAGCTCTGAACTCTGCACCTTTGCACCTCCCATCACAACACACACATGACACACATGAAAAGGTTATGGAGACAATGATACACAGAACCTCCTCTCATCACAACAACAGCAGAGGTGTGTTTACTCGAGTACAGAGGACAGTACAGGGGACAGTACAGGGGACAGTACAGGGACAGTACAGGGGACAGTACAGGGGACAGTACAGAGGACAGTACAGGGACAGTACAGGGGACAGTACAGGGGACAGTACAGAGGACAGTACAGGGGACAGTACAGAGGACAGTACAGTACAGGGGACAGTACAGAGGACAGTACAGACAGTACAGTACAGGGGACAGTACAGTGTACATACAGATACTACTACAGCAGTACAGTACATACTACATACAGTACAGTACAGTACAGTACAGTACAGTGGTACAGGAATGTTCAGCAGTTACCATGGTGACACAATGCACACATTTGCAAACACGGCCGAGGGTTTTAAGATTTGTCTGAAAACTCATGAAAAATACAAATGGATTTTAAAGAGTGGCCTGTTGGAGCTCCAGATCTTTCCGGTCCAGACGGAGCTAAAATAAAACGTGGATGAAATTCTAACTTGAGTAACAAAGGTCCAGACGGAGCAGTGCCTCCGGTTGGCATCACCCCATCAGCTGCAAGGTGTCAATAAAACTCATAATCAGACGGAGAGCAGAGGGAGGCAGGGGAGGAGAGCAGCGTCTGTCTCATTTGCATGGACGGATCTGGAGACGAGAAAATAAGCTGCATAAATTATCTCCACACACACGGTTTGGTGGAGGTTCTTTTTTGCGGACTCCGAGCTCACGTCCACACGCGGACCTTTCCTCCACTCTGACCGGCACGTTTAAGCTCATTTAGAATCACAAAATAAACACGTTTCATCATTTTACCTCACGCCTGGACTAGAGCTGCATGGTTTTTGTTTTTAGTTGTGTTTTTTAAATGACATTTTTTGTTCGGCAGCTTCACTTTTTCGTTTCTTAGTCAGAACATAAAACTCTTCAGTCTGAGCAGCTCGACAAAACAATGAGATTTACTGATTTTTATAAAGAAATACAATTAATATTATGTAGAATTAAGTGAAGCATTTTGGCTTCTACAATATTTTCTGTTTTCTCGTGTGGCCCCATGGAAAAATAATCGCCCATCCCTGATCCCAAACTTGACTATAAGTTCATTTTATTATATTATTTATTTTTCCTCTTCTTCTCTCTCTCTTATTTTATTTTTTATTTTGTATAGCTTTTTTTTCATTTTTTTTTCCTTCTGTATTTATTATTATTATTGTTATTATTATTATTATTATTATTATTATTATATTATTATTATTATTATTATTGTCTATTAATTTATTGTCTTGTCTGTTGTTGTAATTTAACCAAAAACTGAACCTGTTAATCGTCTAAACCAGGAGTGTCAAACTCATTTTGGTCCGGGGGCCGTATCCAACTGAAAACTCATGTCATATAAACGCCAAAAAAAACCAATAAGTTCAAATATTTGTGCAGAGAAACGCAAATCTATTACAGAAATCTTTTTTAATTGATGAACTCTTTCTTTTACAAAATATATTATAATATTATGAACAACCTGAAACTTTAAGAAAAATGCAATTTCAACACAATGTTTTAACATAAACTTGTATTGTAAACAGGAATAAATCTCTGCACTCGGCTCCACCCTTTTCTCATGTTGGACATTTTTCTGATGAGGGTGTCACGGTCAACAGTCAAAACGATCGTCCTTTAAGAGCGTTTGGAAAGAGACAAGTCTTCATTTGTGCTGCTCTCTGGTGGGAGGGGCCACGTACAGAGACGCTGGAGACGCTGCTGTGATAAACACCGCAGAAAATTACAAATATTTTAAAAGAAAAATATAATTAAAATATTTTAGTAGAAAATCAGCCGAGGGCCAGATTAAAGGTCTTGGAGGGCCGGATCTGGCCCCCGGGCCTTATGTTTGACACCCCTGATCTAAATGAATCACGATGCTTCATTGGGAGTCCATGTGTTTTTTCACAGTTAACACAAACATAATATATATTTGTCAGTTACATGAACATATTTACATGTGTGTATAAATGTGTGCCTTTGAGGGATTATAATTTAAAATTGTGGAAAAAATCAAATTGAATTGAAGTTAGTATTTGCCTCTAAAGGTCCAGTATTACACAAAACTGACTCCTGTA